ACAACAATTACAAAGTTTTCTCTTTGACTCTTGTTTCACAATATACCGCGCCAAACTGGTCACACATCAACACTTTAAGATTATCATATCAGAAATACAGGTCAAATTAGCCAAAAAATAAAAATAAAAATGTCACGTGAAAGAACATAGATCAAGTCACTTTGGATGCTAAAACAAAATTAATACAAATTTTCTTCTCGAACACATTGAAGGTTTGAGTTTTCGTACGGCCAATGTTTCAATAAATCTGAGGTTATTAGTTTAGGGACATTTGTGATTGTAAGATTGATCTTACTAGACCACTGCTGCGTCCAACTGTATTAATGTCTAAATTGAACCAATTCACGATATGGCGCAATCATAAACGGCAGTCCATTCATAACCTATTTTCAATGGTAGTATAGACAAAATCAGCTCGTGATTTAGACTAAAAATATATGACACTATTTGAAACGTTTCAGTTTAATATGTAACAAAATTCTGATAAGCACTGTTGAAAACATAGTTAAACCTTTTAAATTTCTTTACAAAATTAATCAAATTTAAAACAAACATTGTTATCTTTTCTTTATTTTTAATCTAGCTAATCTGTCCTGGATTCGATTATGCTAATATTATAACGCATAATAATGTTTTACTACATAGTATAGAAGAATGTGATGTAATTCGTACAGCTTTGAAATTATCACCGACATTTAGATGGTTTATGGAATGTTCATGAAAAGAACTCAACAACAAAACTTATTTTTATATATTCATTAAAAATCTAAAGCTTCAATGGATGGATGGATGGATGGATATCTAACCACAACAGAAATTGTGAATAATAACTTTCTAGTAAAAATTATATATCATTATATTATCATGATTCTGATTTGAAAAAAACATTGTAATATGAAATTCACATCAATCAACTTTCGAGACCAAGTTGGTCACATTCAAATCCTTCCTACCCATAACAGCACACGACTGACTTTGAACTAATCATGTATTGTATTCATCCATTAATTTACAGGCTAATAACAATTAATGGTACAAGTTTATAGTGAAATCAAGTTTCTATTATCAATTCAGTTGGTCATAGACTTGTAAGAAATATGATATTTAAAAAAAACCCAAGAGATTATAATGATTTAAAGTGAAAGCATCGTTGAATCATTCAATTCAATATTATTGATTAATTGGATTAGATCATAATTGATTTTTTTCTTTTTGGAACTGAAATTCAATCAGTTTACCATGATATAATCAATAAAATCTTCTCAATTGGATTTAATTGAACAATGTTAAAATAAAGTCTTAATTTTCTTAAGGTTTGTCTTCATGAAAGAGTAAATATATGTGAAGAATCCGCTAATCATATCACATGCATTTATCATTTATCTTGTAAACAATTGAAAGCAATCCAATCTAAGGCTTTGTAAATTTATTTTAAAAATTTCATATACAAGTCTACCAAACAGAATCAATTCAATAGTTCATTTTCTTCTTGAACAAACAAACAAACAATAAGCTGCTAACTACTTGGAACTTAAAAATTAGAATATTCTATATTTTAATGTGTAAATCAGTAGTATAAAAAAGTTTCACTTTTCCTCAGACAAATTCCTTGCATAATGATTTCATTTATGTCTATTAGTATCACAATAGAAAGAACATTGTATATATGAAAACGAAAACAAAGAATTCGTTACATATTATTAAAAACAAAAACAAAAATTCGTCTATTGTATTAAATATATGATGAGGAATGTATGCATATTCTTTTACTGTCTGTTCTGTCTCAAGATAGTTTATAGTAATTCCGAATGATGTACAATAGAAAGATTCTTCTTAGAAAATTAACATTAATCCCCTAAACACCATTAAAGAGAGAACTAAAATAAAGAGATCAATTTAATATGATTAGTCGGGGTTGTAATAGAACAACTCTAACATTTTGACATATAGTAAATATAGCAAACTAAATACGAAAACGACCAACTGCTTAGCAGTAGAGATATTGTCAACATCAGAACTTCCACTTCAGTAAACTTTATATTGAAATCATTCGGTAATTCTGAAGTTAATTATCAATTGGAGTTCAGTGGAAAAGTATAAATAGATGAGTTTTTAGGCTTTGGAGATGCTCAATTTGTTAACGTTTAATTAATAAAGTTCATAAGTGGTGAACGACTAATTTTACGATCATATCTGGTGACTTATATGTTGAAAAGTATCAAAATGAATGGAAATAATGTAGTATTAATTATTATGAGAAAGACTAAACAATAAAAATATGGTTCGAAAAGATGGAATGAAAAGGCAAGTATTGAGGAATACTGCAACTCAAGATAAAGGGTTAAGGCATTTGCCCCACTAACACCGATTATGAGTCATGTCACATAACCTCCAAACTACTAATCGGAGTAATGTTATATTGAGCAGAAAAATCTAAAACTTAACGGAAAGTGAGTTCCTCATTCCTTCCACTGTTGATGATATGAAACCCATAGGAAGGTTAGTAGGTGCTGCTTCGATATGTAGTGGATTCAGTGGGGTTAGTCTATTCAACAATCCAGTCCTCCAAAGTCCTCTACCCACCAGTCCCACTGTTCTTCAATCTTAGTGATTCTCTTGCCTTCTGTGTTCTTGACTAGTTTCTATGGTCTACTATAGTTCCCTGTTAATTTCTTCGTCGTATCATATAGTCGTCTCAGATTGTCTTCTCTTGCAGCTTTCTCCAATGCCATTGCTAGGTCTTTCACGTATTCCCATTCGTCGGTTCTAGTGCTTCTCTTCACTCGCTTGTTTGCTTCTGTGTATTCGGTCTGTGCATCTGCTTTTTCTGCTCTTGTTCGACTGTTGTTAATTGAGGTTTTCTTGTTCCTTCTTTCTTGAATCTTGTACAGGAATTCGATAAAGATCCATTTCTGACGATGTTTCTCGCAGTCCAGCACCTAATGCACATTGAAATTGGAGCCTATTTGATTCATCTCCAATTGTTCTCCATAGAAATTTCCTCTTTAAATAGAGAATGTAAGTCTTCTTTTCAGAAATTTAAAACAATTAGTCCCTTCTCATTGCATTATCGAAGAGCATTTAAGGCTTGAAACTTTGTTGCTGAGAGCTATCTTGAATTGGTTAAGTTTTCCATTATCTCGAAGGAACGTTGCATTGAAGTTTTGAAACGCTGTTTGTCTAGTGCTTCTTTAGCTTCAGTTTTGTGTTGGCAATCATCAGGTGGTGATCTGAAGTTGTATCAGCTCCTTTCTTTGTTCTCACATCTTCTACTGACCTTTTGAATTTTTTGGTCATTCAAATATGATCGATCTGGTTCTCTATAGTGTGATCCGGTGAGACCCATGTAGATTTGTCTGCGTTTGTTTGAGAATATATTGCTACCCACAGCCATTTCGTTGAAGGCATATACATTTGGAAAGCTCTCACCATTCTCGTTCCCTTCACATAACCAGTCCATGTGTTCGCATGATATCTTCTCACCCAGTGCTGTCCATTCCGACTTTGGCGTTTAGATTTTCCATCAGAATGGCCAGGTCCTTTCCTGGAGGCTTCTCTATGATCAATTGCAGAATCTCAAAGAACTTATCCTTATTGTCTTCATTTCTATCATCAGTAATTGCATAGCACTGAAGGATGCCTTGATGATACTGGATGCATGAGACTCCTATCCTGTAAGTGCTTTCCGTGCTTCTTTAGGTAGGATCAGTGCAAATCGTTGTGTATGCGTAGCATTTTCTTCTTTATGATCAGTGAGTGACAGCATCTCTCCCGAATCTAATCTTTAGTGTCCAGTTTGGGTCAAATGCGTTGCACTTATTTCGACAACAGTCAAGTTTCTTGTTTATGTTGCCTGCTTATCAGGTGCTTGTACGCGTTTCGAGTCACGAATGAATATGGTACACTAGAATCGTTATCTGCCTAATTTGTTCGCGTTCCATCTGGCTATCAAGGTAGAAAGGGAAAATTTATCGTGGATTGATAGGTGTGTAAGTATTTATCTCGATCGTCATCCCACGGTCACTGGTTGTACAAGAATATAAGCGAAATAAGTTAATGACAGACAGAATACTTACCTCCTCCGACAATCAGAAAGCAAATCACATGGAGTCAAGTAATTTTCTTCATAAAATCATATTATGATATTACACGCAATCCAGTGATATGAAGATACATAGAACTGATGTTCTGTATTCCAAAAAACGACAACTCAACTACCAATCAATCACTTTACACTAAACAATATACAAACTATTAGTTATACAACATAAGTGAAGGCTATTTATAAGCTAAATCGCATACACTCAACAGAATTAAACTACTGATAATCTTAACAAGCAAACCTAATCACAATCATTTGCCTACACGTTTTATAAGTTTAGTGAAAATAAGTTCGATCAAAGCTTGACAATGATCTCATGTAATAATGTATCAAGAAAACCGATATAATTAATTTCACGATAAAAGACTATTTTATCCATATATTATGCTGTAGTGAACGAGAACACAAGTGTATTCGACTACAAAATTACAGAATCTCTTAGTAGAATCTGAGAACCATACAGTAAATACTTCACTTGCAAAATATCCATCAATTGTCCCAGACATTATCGTTCCTTCGTTTCCATAGCAATCACTCTCTGTTCTCGTTCTCTTCTCTTCGATCTTCTCAACCTCCTATCACTAGGCATTCCACTTTCGACTGGTGATACATACTACTTATATATGTCAACATCAGTAGTATACACCACGATACTTCATAAATGACATCACAAGCAAAGAATACATACTCATTAGAAAATATCTCGAAATTAATTCAATGCTACCCAACTCATCGAATGAGTTTAATACGAAACCGAATACCCTTAGCAAAAATACAGGGTAAATGAACTTTTTATCATATTTTAGAAAAAGGAAACATAAAGCAAGATAGTCATAACAAATGAACACTAAATAGAAAAAAAACGAAATCACAAAGTAAACTGTGAACATTGTGAATTTCAATTTGCTTCTCCTTTTATGAAATTTGTTAACGTTGTAAACATTGAATTTTGATCCTGTTTTAAATGTTTCATTTCATTTGCAATTAATAACGCCACATTACGTCCACCGATTATAGCCATTTCCATACATGAAGCAGTTAATTCAATTGCATTTGGATAGTAAACTCTTGGTGCTAATTTGAACTGGCCCAAATCAGTATCTGGATCATTCTACGATGATTACAAAATAGCATATGAAAATAATACAATTAGTGTAGAATTTATTGACTTTTAACTGTTTATCATTCTGAAACTATAATGATAGGAGCACCGACAAGTAGGTGAACAATAATTATGTTAAACATCACACAAAAACTATATATACTCTTAAATTAATAAGATGATCATTGAGTAACATTTCATGATATCATGATCATCAGAATTCAGACATTGATAAAATATAGCCTTTATATGCTGCTCCATTAGGAACAGCATTTTAACAATGATCGAGATGTAATAGAGCCCGCTCGTATTAGAATAAGTTCAATAATACCGTACTATCGTAACCAACTGTTGGAGACTTTGGGTGACATGGCTCAGAATCGATCACAATGGTGTAGGCGCATACACTCTTTATCTGCCATTAAACTGTGAGATTAAAATTGCTTTATATCTTACATCCTACCAACGAATTCTTTCTTCTTGTATTATATCCTTATATGCAACCTTTTTTTATATATTATTACCATTGAAGTAACTACTTCTATGAATTTGGTGTTCATCTTGTTGTACTAATGAGGTGTGGAAACTTGGACCGATGCATATATGTACCTGGTCCTACGTTGTTGACTGACAATAATACCGTAAATGTCAATTACGCTCACCATGTACTGAATCTCGACATCAAGATACAATAAAACATACCCGAAGTTTCATTTGTATTCTCACCTTTTTCTAAATACTGAAACATTTGATTAATATTGTGTTTTTCAAAATATTTATCTATATGCGGAAAACGCATATTTAGAGATATAGAGATCCTAACTACCAACGCAACATGACGGGTCGTTATTCAAGTGAAATCACAGAGATAAGCATCTTAGTCTCTCTTAATGTGTTGGTTTCTACATATGACTTCAAGATACAGTGTAATTATGAGAGCTAGTAATACTATCGGGTCACTCAAACCGAAGTAGGTGGGATAGGGTTCGAACCTGCGACAGAGTAGTTGAATTTACAACGTCTGAACCACTGAGCTACTGCTTCTGATTCCAAAATGAGTAGTACAAATGGGTCAGTCCTAATAAAACAAAGCAAGTGTGAACTTTTACTAATCAACAGTTAGTGTAAGGATGAACCTGCAAGCAATGCTTAAATGATATCTGATTCTTGGATCCTTGAATGTACATTAAACGGATTATCCGATGACCTATATTATTATTTTCATGAGTAACATAATATTTTTCAATCAGTTATTCATGAGACAGTAGTCAAAGTAACGTTAACTGAGAGAAAATGTACTACATCAAACTGTCACACTGACGGACACCAAACCGGAAAACATAATCACTAAACAGTCCAACACAGGTGTAATTAAAGACAATTTAGATCGTGGGTGTGCACTACTGAGGAGTCCCATAATAGGACGAAACAGCCGTCCAGTGCTTCCAGGTTTTTAATGGTGGTCTAACACTGATCAATTCGTGATCCCAATTTAAAAAACCAGCAATCTCCACAATCCTATACTGATAACTTAGAATGAGTCATACAAAGACTACTTGAAATATATAACAACCATCAATCATGACACATATGTTTGAGGAAATATTCTTCACTTCAGATCTAAAACATACAACTCTTACTAAACAAGCAGGTAATACAAAATACATATAGATACATATATTGAATTCACTTACAACAGGATGATAGGTTGGATATGCCAGCCAACGTACAACATCAATTTGATTGTGATCGTCATCTGGATCTTTTAAAATCAATTTCGATAAAGCAGTCTTTGGGTCTAGTATGTATTTTGATTCAGAAAATATACTCCAAACACCATCTTTCAAATCTGAGTCTTGTGATTTAACTGGTAAGCGCGTTATAGAACATACAGGATGCTTTTCATTTGAGTAGTAACTTGAGATTGGGAGAAAAGTTGCCCACTGATTGCGTTTCAGATGTTCTAGAAGATTGGAAACATAAAAAGATATCAACTGAAAAGTTAATGAAGTAAAGGTTATATATATAAATAAATTAACACGGAATGGGTTGCAAACATTAATATAATCAGTTCCCAAAGCCACAACAGTAGTAAATATGAACTACGTAAGTGAAACAAACTGTGACTACTTACTTAACGGTAGATCAAATAATGAATAATTGATTTGACCGGATAAAAATGTACGACACATCTCATGATAACGTAAGCTGGGAAGTTTAATATCATCTGAAGTGGAAATATTGGACTCTTGATGTAGTGGTAATGACAATATGACGTAATCGAAAAGTCCCTCTTCAGTTTTATTATTATCGGCTAGATCATAGGATAAGCGTAATCTGAAACAAATAATTAAGGTAAAATCAAAATAATCACGTAAAATGTACATGTGTAAACAAAACAACCAATAATATTTCTAAAGATTGATAAAAGAAGTATTTTCCATTAATCTGTTAACAATTTACACTTTCTCACAACGTATCTCCAATGTATTATCTTTTCTGTCATCGCTAAAGCTGTTACTACCCCTACTAATCTCGGGTTTACCCTGACAATTTCATCTCACTGAGCTAATGGATAATGGCAACTTGAACTGATGTACATATATGTGCCAGATTGTAGGTGGCGTATGACTAACTGATCGATCTCATTTCCAGTACTAGTGAGAACCACAGGCCACTGGAGAGCTGTTTCAACCTAGAAGTGTGCACCCAAGACCTCACCAGGGATTGAAACCAAGATCTTCAGGTTTCGCAAACGCCTAGTCATTAGGACCACTGGGTCGGTTCCCAATGATACAATCTCAAATTTATTTAATTTTCAATGAGAAGCAGAAATCATCCAATGCCATTATTAGTGGTAACTGTTTCCCTTCCGATATGTATAAACTCCACCAGTCGCAACTTCTTATTAGAATTTCAAGCACATCTTGTAGTAACTCAATGGTAAGCTTGGCTAGTATATTGTGAAGGTTAGTTTAATGTGTAGGTAGCATTCATCAAAAACTGATCGCAATAGATTAAATACTAAACTTGGAAAGTCTAGTGCTTATTACTGTAGACGTCAGGCTAGTTAACTGAGAATCCACGAAATAAATGAATTCACCTTATTCTAGTAAGCTTGTTGTTCATGCTTTAGTTAAAAAATTCCAATCAGTTAATTATTGAGATCAGATCCAATGGCTCTAATGCTAATATATTCTACTTGTATCAGTTGAGAATTTAGTTTTATTCACACGAGTAAATGTTGAAATATGGAGATTTTGAAGAAAAAAAACACTGTTGGATAAGTTAATTAAATTATCCCACTAAATGATTAAAAGCTAACAATGAAAACCAACTTCGAATTCAGAATGTGGTGAAGAGCATAATTAAATGTACCTACACTTAGGAAAATACAAAATACTCATAATTAACTGTTATGACTTGATGTCCGGCTTTTTATCACGTGATTTCTCCACCAATCAAAATACGACTTATACAGTCTTAGCACTGTGCCAGAACCAATGACGTTCAACCGGTATGAGCAGCCTAGCGTCCTTATTGGTCCTATGTCCGCCTAGCCCCTCCATTTGAGACCAGAACAAAAATACCAGCTCCCGCAATATGAATCGAATCGAATCGTTTATTTCAGACATGCTCGGTTTATATATCAACCAGACAGACCACAACGTACCATAAAATAGAAAATAACATTTGTACAATATTTGGCCGAATGTGGCTGTGAACGTAGGAGGCAGTAGTCAATAAACCGAACATAGCTTAAGAACCGTAATTTGTACAATAATAAATTATAGGTCAAAATAAAGCTTATAATAAGAGGAATATAAATATACATAATCTAACTATTGAATAGTTACACCATAAGAATATATAGATAATATTAGTCAATTAATATGTCTCAGGAATTACTCGTGATTTAATCTTCGCTCGGATATAACATTAACATCTATAAGTTTAAGGACATTTTTTGTTTTACATGTACTACTTCGTAGTGACGATCATATGTTATTACTACAATAACCCGATTGAGCAATTATAAGTTAAAATAGTTATTACTGAAGTTCTACTATGTTGGAAAGAGAACAAAAAGGTTTCGAGTTTATACCTCATGGATTGAACAGTTTTCTCTAAAATTCAAAATCTTTATGATAAAACATCTTCTGCACAATTATTGAAGAAATACAGTAGTTTGTTTATAGTTTTAATTCAAAACCTTCTTCCGTGCATGATAAACTGAATTGAAATGCTACATTTTAGTCAAACAGTTGGATTTATAGACGAGTTTATTTTTATCTAAAACTTGACTGGCTTTAACATAATACACAGTCTTATTGGAGTCTTGTGTAGCAGCACAGCAATGACTATTTTACTGACGAAAAACACCTCATTAGAAACACAGGATTACCTATCATTATCGGTTCGTGTAATCTTCTTCACCGTAGCGTGTATAAACTCTTTTGGAGCACCAGAAGGATTGCCGGCCAATGCAACTTCAACTAACTTTTGCGGGATTTGTTCAGCTCCATTTTCAATAGTATATACATCAGATACTGTACAAGCTGAAGAAATCACTCCTATAATTGATAATAAAAACAAAATGATCAAGATTAAAATCAAGGTTATGTCAATGCTTTGCTTTAATATTACATTATCTACAAATAAAAAATGGATGTGAACAGTATAACTGATAACTTGGAAAAATACAGATAATATACTATGGTGTATGCTACTTATGCTGACAAATATAAGTAGTATGTAACAGCAATCACAAGTGGAATTCCTGGCTGCAGCAGGCTAAGACAATTGAATTGAAAAGAACAGGAATGTAAACAGAGAGTAATTGTAATAACAACAGGAGCGAAGGAATGATGAAGTTTGTAAAGGAAAACTGATAGGTGAGCAAATTGTGTATGTAATGTATAGTAAGAACAATGATGTAGAAATCCATAATTATAATTATAATGGGAGAATGAAGTTTGAATGCGTATATTTTATACAATCGTTGATCTGAGCAGACAATCAGGATGACGGAGCGAAGGAGAGAGAGAAGTGAAACTAAATGACGCACAGTGGAAAAGGCGAGTGAACCAACTCAGTTTTGCCAAGCGTGAATCGATATTTATAGTTGAACAAAAATAAGTTACAGACATGTGATGAATAGGATAAAAAGTGCACACATATACGCTCATATAAAAAGTCAAAGTCGATAAGCGAATAATTGACAAGATCAAAATGTAGCTTGAGGAGAATGGATAAGTTGGTTTGTTTAGAAGCTGGAATAGGTTATTTGGGCTTAACATAGAAGCCGACACTACAAGGTTGAATAAATGCACTAATTGGACGAAGTCCATATTATGAATTGACAAAACGCTTATAATATAACTAAATATTACTTTATTGGCGTATTGCGATTTGTACGTTTACCTGTGTCGAGGATACGACAGGATACAACAGGACTTTAATCCTTTACGACCAACTTGAAAGATTTCATAATGAAGAAGATATTCGTGAATTACTACCGAGTAAAATACTACATAATATAATCTCTATTCAATACTAAATTCAGATATGGGACGCAAAACCAGACACTTTTGTACAAAAGGTTAAACAAGAATATGGTTGTTGCTTAGAACAATCAGCTGAAAGTAAGTTCTACTGGTATATTTCACCCAGTCTGAGATCTAATAGCCTCAAAACCAAATATTTAAAAACAATATCTATCTGTTAGACTATGAGTAAACGTTGAAACAAATTACATGCAGTCAGTCAGCCACAACGTAAAACCTGTACGTAAGTACATCGGTTCAGATTACCATACCTCATTAGTTGATGAAGTTGTCAGGCCAAATCCCAGAATAGTAAAAGCAGTAGCAGTATCAGTAAAAATAGGGAAAATTAGGCATCGAATATACGATTCGAAAAGAAAATATAAATTAGTGAAATAAAAGTTATGAAGAATCAATAATCTCAGGATTTGGGAGAAAACAAAGAATGGATGCGCCTGAGCCATTGTAAACGATTTTGAGCCATGCCATTAATCATGATAATCACGCGAACTTCAACCAGCTAGTCTACACAAATTAACATGGCTAAGTCCGATTATCAGTAACTTCGTGAACTGATGCCATGTTTTTAGTTTGGCAGACCCTAGATTTCTTCCAGACTACTCCTCCACTAGACAACATCGACTATCGTGGTAGGCGGTGGTTGGGAATATGCAACAAATGTCCCAAACACCTCGGTTGATGAAGATTTACTACCTCATCAATCGATTTCCTATCTTTACGTAGTACTCTATTCCTCATTCAGACATTGCTTACCACGTGGTCCCAAAATAAACAAACAATGCACCGTAGACATCTAAGGATCGAACACCAGTAATTTATGAATATCCTCTATGTTTCACATCCATAACGTCCATGAAATGGATTGCATAACTACATATAATAGGTAACAAGTAAGAAATTGAAAGTTGACAGGTATACTTAGGAGTGAAAAGAAATTGTAAAATAGTTAACGTTTTAATCAATAGTTCTACATAAGAAGTAGGTCAAGTATACATAAATAGACATTAAAGTAATAAAGTAGTCAGGTAGTCAAGAATATAAACAAAAGGACATCAAAGTAAAATTTGAATAATTTCATAGATTTAGAAAATGAATCAACTCTACATTAACTCACCGACAAATGCATGAGCATCTACTGAATTCTGACAATAATTACTCGAAAATATTCCAAACCCTAATTCATTTATATATTTCTCGTCTAATCCAATTTCTTTACGCATCCATTCAGCAAAAGTACACTTTGTCATTTCAGGGAAATGTTTAGATAATTTTTTTAATAGTAAACCGGGTGAAGTGAAACATTCACCACGTTCTTGCAAAGTATAAATTCTATAAATAAACAATTAACAAGATATAATTAGAATCACATTTGTTAGATACAGATAGCTATTGCTATGTCAGTATCTAATTATGTAATCTTTTAGTCATATAAACCACAAACAACCGCCCTTACAAAGTTGAAGTATTGTCATTGATTTCATAGAGTAGTGTGTATTTAATTCCTTAGAAAAAGAATGCAAATTAAGGGTACTCACGAGCACATAACGTTTGAACAAATATCAGATCGATCCCCCTGTATATGACCAATACAAACGAATGTTTATTGACCATTCCAACAAAATATTACATACCAACCAACGCCTGTTACCCCTCGTAGAGGAACATAGGCTGCCCACTAGGATTCTCCAACAAACACTGTACGGGATAGTCCTTCCCATCTGATATTCCTCCCTATGATGTCTGCTTCCAGTTCACAACGAAATCTGTTCCTTGATATTCCTCTTTTCCTCTTCTTTTCAAAATTCCAAATAAGCACTTGCCTCATAATGCAGTTTGATGATTTCCACAATATTCTTCACACCTACCTCGTGTCTCTCTCTAATTTCCTATTCATCTAAAACCTCGTTTGTTCTCTCCCATAGTAGGCTGTTACTAGTGGTGTCCGGCCAACCGAAATTCAGTATCTTCTACAAATAACTGAACTTTCGTATGATGTTGACAATCTTCTCAGATACACCACAGTTCCGAAGAAGGCTCCATAAGGTTCTTTTATCCACACTACCAAACGATTTCTCATAGTCAATGATGTTCATGTATAGTGACGAATTCCATTCACTTCATTGCTCAAAAATGATCTGTAGTGTTGCGGTTTCGTCTGTAGACATCGAAGTTGAGAGTCGAGTGAATAATCTTCAATCCGGTTCAACAACACTCTGTTGAAAACTTTTCCTGGTACTCATAGTAATGTGATGCCTCTGTAGCTGAGTTCTCACACTTGCTCAAATCTACTTTTTTTTGTACTTTCATAAAGTATCTTTCTTTCCAGTCCGTTAGTGGCACTTGTTTCTTCTCCCAAATTCTTCTGAATAACATGTGGAGCACCTTTGCAGTTACCTCCATGTCTGATTTCAGTGTGTCAGCCGGTTTGTTGTCTGGTCCTGATGCTTTCCCATTCTTCATTTGTCTGATGGCCATCCTCATTCCTTCCACTGTTGATGATATGAAACCCATAGGAAGGTTAGTAGGTGCTGCTTCGATATGTAGTGGATTCAGTGGGGTTAGTCTATTCAACAATCCAGTCCTCCAAAGTCCTCTACCCACCAGTCCCACTGTTCTTCAATCTTAGTGATTCTCTTGCCTTCTGTGTTCTTGACTAGTTTCTATGGTCTACTATAGTTCCCTGTTAATTTCTTCGTCGTATCATATAGTCGTCTCAGATTGTCTTCTCTTGCAGCTTTCTCCAATGTCATTGCTAGGTCTTTCACGTATTCCCATTCGTCGGTTCTAGTGCTTCTCTTCACTCGCTTGTTTGCTTCTGTGTATTCGGTCTGTGCATCTGCTTTTTCTGCTCTTGTTCGACTGTTGTTAATTGAGGTTTTCTTGTTACTCCTTTCTTGAATCTTGTCTAGGAATTCGATAGAGATCCATTCTCTGCTGTCATTGCTAGGTCTTCCAGCTTAGGAAACATCATATCATGTTATCTGATTAACATATAGATTATTACAGACAGACAGACATCATCAATAGAGAGCCTGAAATAGATATCTGTCGAATCAAGTTCCCATTCCGGATTAGCACGACAAGATGAAAATCACAAGAGGTCGAAATAAAGTAGGAGTAATAATAAGAAAACTAAACCTTCGGAATATGGTTGTCACAGAAACATGCAAAAAAACTGACTGAAATTTTGAAGGCTATAAAATATACAGGAAAAATACAAATGATGAAATAAATAATTGAGCAAAAGCGGAATAATAAGGTCTTTAAAATAAGGAGGAAGATGTCAGTTAATCATAGACAATGTATGTTCTGGCACGAATATTGATCAGTGTAGGTTGGTCATATCCTACTTTAACACCCAGACAAAATAAGAAAAATGAAAATTATAAACAGGAAAACAATAATAAAAATAATATCCACCGTAGTGAAAGCCAATTATAAGAAATGTCATTTAGAAAAAATGACTAAGATTAAAGAATGGAAAGCATGGAATGGTAAAAGCCCAGGATTTAGAGGAACACAGAAAAAGACAGCAAGTGCGGTAAAGCGATCGACTGAGGTTCACTTAGAAAAACATCAAATAACATTTTAAAAGAATCTATAATATGATGTAATACTGATGAATTAGACGAATCCAGGTCACATGCCACTACGAGGCCAGGACAAGTGAGGAATGAAGGTATGGGTTATTTATTGTAAGCGAAATACGCACCTACTCAAACTTACTGCACATTACATAGATAGGTTCATATACATAATTCATATACACATTCATCCAACCAGTAGCAAAAAGGGTTCCGACATGTTCTCAATCTTGTTAATCTCCATACCAAGTTGTATTCATAAGTCATAATGGGTGTGGTTGTGACTTCAGTGTATCAGTACATAATGCGAATAAACAAAATGCAGTATACCTGACATATTAACTGTCTATAGAACAAGTGTTCTTATAGCCCAATGTTGAACATTCAATAATAAACCATTAAACCACAGTTTTCCACTATACTCCAGGTACTTTGATATGGGTAAACCAGTAGTATTTTCAACCTTATTCAATAAACATAACTCAAATTTTAAGGCACACATTGAAAGGTGGATTGCAGTAATCATAACGAGTCAACATTTAATTAGGTATATATGTGAAGCGTATCGTAACCTATATATATATATATATATATATATATATATATATATATATATATATATATATATATATATATATATATATATATATATATATATATATAGTAGCGTAGTATACACCTAATATCTCATCCTTAATATTACATCAGTTGACAAATGTCATAAAATTTATCATTTAAACATCCTTACTGAGTGAATTCTCGAATTCTAGCCATTAGATAAAACTTTGCACGAAGCAAGTTGAGGCCGTAACGCCAAAATAAGTGAATCGGAGTTAGAAATGCTGTCTGATCAGTAATATTTGAAAATACTGGTTTATAACCTTCTTCAAAAAGAAGTAAGCGATGATCAACACTTTTTAAAGGAACCAAAGGTATTTCTATAAAGCAAAAACATAAAATGTATTAATACAAGCATCAATACCTCTATCTAAACAAAAACAAAAAATAAACACTGAAAAGTCTCAAACTATTTTGTTCACAATAACTAATTCAATGAAGTTAGATCAACATTAGAATAGAAATTGAATTTTACCGGACTTGATAACAAATTTTAGGAAGAAAACTTGAAAATAAAATTACTGAAAATGTGATCAATAAAACAACTCAAACTTTTGTCAATCTGAACATTGTAGGGGATAGTCGTATTCATGTAACATATCACTGAAATAAATGCGTATACCCTTACATTAGCAAAATAAATACTTTAGAGAGTAGGAATTTCTCCTCAATTCGTTACTGTAAGAGATTTGTGCTCTAAATGTACTACTTGGATATGATACTGAATGAGAAAATTAAAGGATAAAGTTTAAAAACACTTTACTGATTTTGGGAAATGTATAATTCATGATAATTAATTTGTAATTTTATGTCTAGTAATCAGAATATTGAAAGAAATTATACGTGTAAACTCATCTTAAATGAATGTATACTGAAGGTTTAAAGTTGTATACTAACTGCAGTATTGTTTTCACCGTCAAAGGGATACATTATTGGTATAGTGAAGATTTTACTCTCGATGAAAAATGATCTGATGTGCGGCGTTCATAAATTGATATTGTTTCATAATCTTCATATAAACGAGCCTAACTACTGAGGAAAAATAAAAACCATTTCTTGACTAATCACATACACTTATCATTTGTGCGATGCCTGATTGAGACAATGTATTAAGAAAAAAATCAAGTAGAACAATGTGGAAGTTAAGAATTAGAAACTTTACAAATCTGATTAACATTGTTGTTTGGAAACAATAAGTTAATTTTAACAACTTGATCGTGAATCCAATTACACTGTTAAAAGATGGTGTTCACAAAATATTCAGGAAATATACAAACTAACTTACTGAATTGATTTGCAAACGAAGTCATGTAATAATTACTAGAATGAATAGCGCTAGCTCCAGATTCGCAAGTTTCTCCACAAAAAGGTACCGCTTTGATACGACCACCGATTCGTCCGGATTTTTCAAAAAGGGTAATAGAAACTTTATTGCCAAACATTTTTCGTAAAAAATAAGCCGAACTTGCACCACCTATTCCTCCACCAACAACGGCTGAAATCAAACAACAGTAAGGAAAATTGTTACCCACTTGAAAGATAAATTGAAACAGCATCCATTCTTACTACTGAATCAATAAACCTAGCAAAAATGAAACTAAAACGAAGAGTTCACCTATCGCTGATCTTCATTTAATCCGAACTAAGTCACCGAAGGTAAAAAAAAAGGAAAATCAGTTGGCTATGTTGTGAATCTTCATTAATTTAGGTGGCTTACGTATACACAACAACCGACTACCTAGACGTATGATGTTGGTTGGCGTAATAGGTCGGAATAAAGCTAGTAACAACCAAAACGTGGCATCCATCCACGACATTCACTGCGACCATTAAGTTCTGCTGGTTTCCCGATCTAAATGATTTGTTAACCCCTTGATTTCTTCATTCTATATGTAAAATGATGACTATTAGACTCTAAAATGCAGCTGTGACCAGTACGAAAGCTAATGCTGCCAAATGACGAATATGGGAAGGAAAATTTTCTTTTGTCATATAAAGTTGCTGAAGGTTCGCTTATTGTTGAAGTATCCGTCATATACACTGGCTCGGATGGAACAGACGACCTTCTTGTACTGTATTCAGATATACTTATCGAAATGCTGATGGTGCTGAGTGTTCAAGGCCAGTCATGATACCTGATGGATTTAAAGTTTGGTACAATTCGTTCGATTTATTAAATGTGTAGACATACGAATTCCTACTTTCGTCATTCATTAGAATGTAAACCAATGGAAAAATCCTGCAGAACCTCATAGCATGAATTGTGTATAGCTGACTAAACAAAGATGGCGAGGTCTTGAATGTCCTGTCAACGTACTAATGACGACACTGCTTCAAAAATTCAGTATTCCTAGATGTAGGAAACTGATGTGTGGTAGCGGGAGTAAAAAAAACTCCGCCTGCAACTCTCCTAGAGCTACTGCCGGTCCCAAGCCCGGGTAAAGGAGGAGGGTTGGGCATGGGGTTAGCGACTCCATCCCGTAGAAAACTAACTCGCTAAAAAAACGCTAACCGGTGGAAGTAAAATGATTGGTCGTTGAGCGTGGACAAACAGCCACAGCCTACGGACTATCAAATACGTGATTCTCCTTTCTGTCATTGATTTTTACTCCGGACCCACTGAGTGTGACTGCTTGTTAGTTGTATTGAATAAAGTATTATCTAGTGTTAATCTGGATCTCTATTTTGGATCGTGAATCCTAATTCTGATATAACGTGACTAGTCTTATTAACGTATCGTAATATACATGAGAAAAAAATATTTTAAACACCCGTTATATGGAAAATATTGAAATTCTTTTGTCGCCCGTCTTACAATCATGAAGTAAGAAATTCTGTCTCCTTACATTATTCAGAGGGTAAATTTAGTACATTCAAAGAACCTGGATTTGGAAAGGAAGCTTGACTATCATGCTGTACACGTCGAAAGATCTGTTTCATTACATTATCAGCTGGAAATTGAGCTAATACCACGTACAACAAACCAGCTGACACTGTAACCACGATTTGATGTGCCGCGTCTGTTGAGAAAGCTGTTCGATCATTCATCACGTTGATTGTCTTTTTCGCATCTGTCTTGGACTTATAAGGAACATGATTGTGTTTCGTCGGCTGTTTTGTGATAAATTCATACATCATATGACAATGCGACCTAAACATTTTCACTTCGAATACATAATCGTAATTAGATCCATTACTGTTAAATTTTCGGTTACCTGGAACTGTCTGACAGACTCTTGATCTGCTGGGAATCCAACACACAAATATCCCTTTGAACAGATTATATCCTCGCTCTTCAAAACAGGCGTACGAAATAACACAAGTTGGGTAATAAAAACAGCACTTTTTTTACCGAATTCGAGAAATTAGACTCTTCAACGTACGTTCAGAAGACTACCTTTTTGATTGGTCGTAAAGTAAAGAGACAGAGGGTAATTCGAACGTACTTCACACTACTAAAAAGGTTATTTGCACTTTTAATGCTCACCTTTTATTAATGCGTGCCATGATTAATGTGAACCGATTATTATTACTACTAACTGTCAAAAAACGTGGACAACAACGCTAAAAATCGATCGCAACAGTGTATATCTACTTATACTTTATTTAACCTTGGGGTTCATGTTTAAAAGTTACTTTAGATTTTTCATTCACTTAATTAATTCTTTCATCTCCAATCAAATTTTCTATGCGTGATTATTCTTATCATCAGATATTGTTTTGGTATTCATCTTGAGAATTTCATGCCGTTGTGTTAACGTGACCTTTCAGCCTGGTCCGATGGAAATTTGTGCCAGGTTCTACGTTATTTGGGCCTAACTGACTGGTCTATCGCGAAAACAACTAGAAACACGGTCAGTATGAATCATCATGACGCCTCATGATGAATGCCGAGATTCCTCGAAAATCTTGAGGTCGTTGCCTCTTCTGACAACCAGAACAACAATCAATACAGGTACATGGAATATCCGGACAATGTGAGAGGGCCGAAAGACCAATTGACTCAGAGACATCAGTGGAAGGTACATGAACTCATTTCAGGCAGTTATACAATCAGATAGATCAACCACATATATCCTGGACAGTCCCAAAAAAAGCACTGCTATCCTTAAACAGGCCAAGATATTCGAGATTTACTAAGGCAAAAGAAATGTTGAGACGTTGCCATCAGCTTTGGCACAGCAATTACTATGGAACGCTATAAGTTGGTAAGAAATAAGTGCATAATTAAAATCCGGGAAGCTCACAGAAAATATTAAATGCAGTTAGCACAATCTCTTGGCACGTTAGACAAAGAAAAGTCAGCAGGACCGGATGAACTACACCCAAAATCTTGAGACAAATCGCACAACATATGGTGGCTCCAATAATTATGATATTCTATGTCATTTGGCCAAGGTGTAGTAGGTCGTAGACAGAAAGTAAGAGTGAATTCGAAGTGCTCCGCCTGGAGACCAGTGCTTAGTGGAGTACCGCAAGGTTCCGTGCTAGGTCCTTTAATTTTTATACTGTATGTAAATGATCTCCCAAGTATGGTTGAGTCCCCAATGTTACTATACACTGATGTAAAAATCTGGCGAGAAATAACAAGAGACACATATGCATACACACTTTGAGTAGACTTAAATATTGCGATTAGCTGGTCTAAATAGTGGCTGATGCCTGTCAACGCCGCAGTGTGTCCACATGCACTTTGAGGATACAAAGGTAAATAGGTACAGCATATGGAAAGCACTTGTACCTGCGGTCCGGTCTCACAAGGATCTTGGGGTGACAGTGAGTCATGACATTAAGACCACGGCCCACTGCCGGAAGGTTATAGCTAAGGGGTTTAGAACCCTGTGTGCTTTAAGATGGATATTCACCAAGTTAGACACCACCATGTTCACTACAGTATACACAACCTTAGTGAGAACTAAGCCTAAAAACTGCATTCAGGCTGCAAGTCCTTGTTTAATAGATGACTCAAATATCCTGAGAAAATCACAGAGGGAAGCTACCATGCAATTCGAGAACGCGGTTTACCATACAAAAGGCGGCTTGAAAAGCAGGACCTCTTTACTCTGTCCCATTGAAGATTAAGGTGGTCTGATTTTAATACATAGAATACTAAGAAATCATTTTGGACTTAATGTATTCTCTTTTTCTTCTCACCAGATTGGGACATCTCAGAGGACATAACACGCGAGCAGAGAAGCCAAGAACAAACGAAATACCCGTGGTATACACGTTTTCATACCCAGTCATTAATTCTTGGAACCTGTTACCCGAAGCAGTGGTGTCCGCACCTTTAACTGACTGATTTAACAGAAGACTAGACACTTATAAAAGCACACTAGAAAAGGAATAACATAAGTCGTAAACCTTCAGTCCTTAAGAATTGAAATTTTGGGGAAAAACGCGAAACCTACCCACGATTTTGGGGTTTTATAATAAATATAGGTCGCTTTTCCCAAAGTGTAATAAGATTCTGGGGAAGTTTTGTGGGTTTGGTGTCATTTCCCCAAAATTTTCTATAGCGGATTCCCCAAAATTGGGAGATTGGGTTACTACACAAATCTGAACCTGAAATTCTGATGAAAGCATAGTGGTTTGATGTTTGGCATGAAGCCAACTTAATAAACATTTTACTAAATCCAGTATTATTCACATGATTGTATTCAGTGATGTTTATAAGAAAAATAATTTTAAAATGACACGACATAAACGTTTATGTCAAGTACTTGACCAAATTTGAAACTTACCAACTTTGAACGGCCGATCCTCCTGCATTGTTGGGACCAGAAAAGAAGAAGCAATTCAGAAGTTGAATCACAACTGAAATAAATGAAACCACAGGATAACTGACTTGCCGGAACGTCGAAAATGCCGCCTCGATCTGATTGGACGATGGATTCATTATGCAATTGGTAGGTCGTAGGGACGACATTGAGCGACGCTAAAATGACCTTGAGAGTGTCTACCTACTTAAAGCAGTTTGAAGGATAAAGATTATGATTTACAGTTGATGGTTTGGGTTAGGAATTAGATATAGGGTTTTTATCATGAACTGACAACAGCTATAATACCAGGATTCTATTTAGCCAAACGGGTGAATGAATTTCGCGCCAAAATACAAGACTTGTTATCGTAAATCTGATTGATTCGTCTGTAAATTATTGTCTCGACATTTTGGCAGTCACCTAGATGACCAATCGGGATGAAACGGGAATTATCATTGCCACCATCTTTGTAATCAATGGCCGTCGGCTTGACTCGTCTGTGTATTTTTCCGCCGCTTTTTGTGTGACTGCACAAATTAGTGTTTGAGTGTGCTGAAATTCCGAAGTTAATGTGATACTCAAAGCGTTGGAGCAAATTTATTTTGAGTCAGCTTTGTTTCCTCGGTTTTGTTGCTGCTACTGCAGTGTATTTCCTCATTCAAGCTCGCTTTTTTGTGTTATAAAATGTTAATCTGTTGTGTTTTTAGTACTATTTTATAGATATGGCGAACCAAATTTAGTTTTTTTAGCTAAAATATATATTGCTACCGCTGTGACTCTAACTGCTCACATTTTCGTTTATGATGTTATCTAGAGCATTGAAAGAAAACGACTTCCGGTTTGTTATGTCCTTCAGTATTATGGATAACCCTATCCCATCAACTAGTCAAACTAATACTGAGTGTCCAGTAGTTGTAGACACAGTGTTGTTTTCAAAAGAATTATGAAACCCAGGCACCTGACAACCTGAGAACAGTTCAGGAATGCTATCGATCTGATGAAGGTTTGTTATTAGGAAGATACCGTATTGTTTTGCCCCCATTTAGGTATTCTAATGCATCTGCGTCTGTTTTAACGGGAAGATAGATAAGAAGAGTTAGCGTCTGATAAACTAAAATCCCCAGTTGCAAAAATGATTTTTTCTGATCGTCCACAGTCAGATAGTGGGAATATGATAAATATGATACGTCAACCTAAAATCCTCGTGATTCGTCCCGTTTTATACGAATTCTGAGCTCTCAACTTCCTGGAGCTTTATGCGCTGTAACACATACATAATCTCACACTGATCGTTTTCTAGTTCTGACCCTCAAGCACACTAAAAGAAATGAGTGAGCAGCTCTACTTACTAAACTGAGATGCTCCATCGTATACTTCAAGCACTATACTTATATCGACTAACTGTATTATACGACAGCCAAGAATACTAAAATAACTTACTTACTTACGCCTGTTACTCCTCGTGAAGGAGCATAGGCCACTCACCAGCATTCTCCATCCAACCCTGTCCTGGGCAATCCTTTCTAGCTCCGTCCAGTTGTAATTCATCCTTTTCATATCTGCTTCTATATCCCGACGCAATGTGTTCTTTGGCCTTCCTCTTTTTCGCTTCCCTTCAGGATTCCAAGTTAGGGCTTGCCTCGTGATGCAGTTTGACGGTTTGCGTAATGTATGTCCTATCCATTTCCATCGTCTTTTCCTAATTTCCTCTTCAGCTGGAAGTTGGTTTGTTCTCTCCCACAGAAGGCTATTGCTGATGGTATCCGGCCAATGGATGTTGAGTATCTTGCGTAGACAGCTATTTATAAATACTTGTACTTTCTTGATTGTGGTTGTTGTAGTTCTCCAAGTTTCAGCTCCATACAGTAGAACTGCCTTGACGTTCGTATTGAAGATTCTCACTTTGATATTGGTTGAAAGTTGTTTTGAGTTCCATATGTTCTTCAATTGTAGGAATGCGACCCTTGCTTTGCCGATCCTCGCCTTTACGTCTGCATCTGAACCTCCTTGTTCATCGATGATGCTTCCTGGGTATGTGAAGGACTCTACATCTTCCAGAGTTTCGCCATCAAGAGTGATTGGATTGCTGTTCTCCGCTTTGAATTTGAGGACCTTGGTTTTCCCTTTGTGTATGCTGAGGCCTACTGATGCAGAGACTGCTGCTACACTGGCTGTCTTCATCTGCATCTGTTCGTGTGTACGTGATAGGAGGGCTAGGTCGTCTGCGAAGTCCAAATCGTCTAATTGATTCTGAGCTGTCCATTGTATTCCGTGTTTTCCTTCAGATGTCGAGGTCTTCATAATCCAGTCGACCACCAGAAGAAAGAGGAAGGGAGAGAGTAAACAGCCTTGTCTGACTCCAGTCCTTACTTGGAATGCATCTGTCAGCTGTCCTCCATGCACTACTTTGCACTGTAGTCCGTCGTATGAGTTCCGGATAATGTTGACAATCTTCTCAGGAACTCCGTAGTGTCGAAGAAGTTTCCATAATGTCCTCCTATCTACACTGTCGAATGCCTTTTCATAATCAATGAAGTTGATGTATAGTGATGAGTTCCACTCAACTGATTGTTCGACGATGATCCGTAGTGTTGCAATTTGGTCTGTGCACGACCGATCCTTACGGAATCCAGCTTGTTGATCTCGAAGTTGGGCGTCTACTGCATCCTTCATCCGGTTCCCTGGTATTGACAGTAGTGTAATGCCTCTGTAGTTTTCACATTTGCTCAGATCTCCTTTCTTTGGAATCTTGACGAGGTGTCCTTCTTTCCAGTCCATCGGCACTTGTTCCTCCTCCCAAATCTTTTTGAATAGAAGGTAAGCATGCTTGTGGTTGCTTCGATGTCTGATTTCAGTGCTTCAGCTGGTATGTTGTCGGGTCCTGCTGCTTTCCCGTTCTTGATTTGTCTGACGGCCATTCTAATTTCTTCCGTCGTTGGTGGGTTGACATCTATAGGAAGATCTATGTGTGCTGCTTCGATGTCCGGTGGATTCATTGGAGCCGGCCTATTCAGGAGTTCCTCGAAGTATTCTACCCATCTGTTACGCTGTTGTTGAATTTCGGTGATTGGCTTGCCTTCTTTGTCTTTGACCGGCCTCTCTGGTTTACTGTATTTCCCTGCTAGTTTCTTCGTTGTATCGTAAAGCTGTTTCATATTTCCTTCTCTAGCAGCTTTTTCTGCCGTCGTTGCTAGTTCTTCCACGTATTTCTTCTTGTCGGCTCTAATGCTCCTCTTCACTTGTTTGTTTGCTTCTATGTATTCAGCTTGTGCTTGAACTTTCTCTGCTCGTGTTCGGCTGTTGTTAATTGCTGCCTTCTTGTTCTTCCTTTCTTTGATCTTGTCCAGTGTTTCTATAGAGATCCATTCCTTATGATGGTGTTTCTTTAGGCCCAGAACCTCTTGACACGTTGAAGTTAATGCTTCCTTGATGCCTTTCCAGTTGTCCTCCATACTAGTTTCTTCTTCTTTCAGTAGATCTTGTAAGGCTTGGAACCTGTTGTTGAGAGCTATCTTGAATTCATTGAGTTTGTCAGTATCTCGAAGGAAGGCTGTATTGAACCTTTGTAGTGCTGTTTGTCCACTTGTCCAGTTCTTTTTAGCTTCAGTTTTAAATTGGCTACAACTAGGTGGTGATCTGAAGCTACGTCAGCACCTCTCCTGGTTCTCACATCTTCCATTGTCCTTCGGAATTTTTTGTTGATGCAAATATGATCTATTTGGTTCTCTGTAGTGTGGTCCGGTGAGATCCATGTAGCCTTGTGTATACGCTTGTGTGGAAATATTGTGCCTCCTATGACCAATTTGTTGAATGCACACAGATTTGCAAATCTTTCTCCATTTTCGTTTCTTTCTCCCAGTCCATGTCGTCCCATAATATCTTCATATCCAGTGTTGTCTATTCCGACTTTGGCATTTAGATCTCCCATCAGAATAGTTAGGTCCTTTCTTGGCATTTCTCAATGATTGACTGCAGCCGCTCGTAGAACTGATCTTTAATGTCGTCGTTGCTATCATTGGTGGGTGCATAACATTGGATAATATTCATTAAGATCCCCTCCTTCTTTGTTTTGAATGATGCTTTGATGATTCTGGATCCGTGAGACTCCCATCCTACAAGTGCATTTCGTGCTACTTTGGACAGCATAAGAGCGACTCCCTGAGTGTGTGGAGCATTGTCCTCTTCGTGACCGGAGTATAGCAGCATCTCTCCCGTAGCTAGCCTTTTCTGTCCAGCTTGGGTCCAGTGGGTTTCGCTGATTCCCAGTACTGCTAAGTTGTATCTCCTCATTTCCATTGCTATTTGACTGGTCTTCCCGGTTTCCCACATTGTTCGAACGTTCCATGTACCTATAAAAATTTTTGCTCTGGTTGTTAGAAGGGGCATCGGCCTCGTGGCTTCCGAAGGAACTCGGCTTTCACCATGAAGCGTCATAATTCTTCTAACTGAAGACCTTCTAACTCCCAGGGCAGAGTTTAAATGGTTTGGATTATTTTTTCTGGTAAGCGTTTTTTTAGCGAGTTAGTTTTCTACGGGATGGGGACGCTAACCCCATGCCCAACCCTCCTCCTTTACCCGGGCTTGGGACCGGCAGTAACCCTATAAGAGCTACAGGCGGAGTTACTAAAATAAGGTGTTATGATTATTAATTCATTTGCACAGACATGTTAATCAAAGTAGATGAATGTAGATAATTAAGCCTGTAAACAAAAACATGAATTATAGGCCGGTAAGTCCCACCTAACAGAGACAAACAATATTTTGAGACTGAAGACAACAGTCATTTACGCAAAAAGACAGTTTGCAGTGCAACAAACCTTTCTCCAGTAGCATTATTTATTGACGGCTTATTTAAAAAACGATTTGATTGAGCTTACTATGACTTGGGACATCATTCCAGCATGTCCAGCGTAACGCAGTTAGAGGTGGCAAATAAAAGTTATAGCCATACCAAAATTCACAGCATAATCTAGTTATCTAGTGAAATTTACATCATAATATGACAAATCA